GTTAAAAGTGATGAGAATTTCAAATCAATGAATGATATTTTCTTTGAATGATAAGTGGACTGAAAAAAGCATTTTCTAAACAAATGACAATTTCTTTTCCGTCCCAAAGCATAGTTCACTTGAGACAACCATTTCCCTATAAATCCTGATGCTTGTGATAAACGGATCCTAACATAATAATACAAAACTAACTCTAAAATCAATTAATGCATGTTAAGAATTATTCATAATACCAGTTATTTAGTCTTGAAATAGTGGACACAAAATAGGAGTCAGTGATTGTCTTGGACGAGGCCATAGCCAGGTGTTTCTGAGTGTTCCATATATTGTTTGCCATATGTATTAAAATGTTTGGGTTATCGTCACAGAGGAGTGCTTTGGAGACATAAACGGAGGCCTCGGTGTCGAGGTATGCATTCCGACGCCTCATAAACTCAATCCGATTAGACGGATTGTGGTAAGGATTTTCATTGACAAGAGATATGTTTGCGTTATCGTTCAAGATTTTCAATAACTTTTTCAACACTTCATTATCGGAATCCTTATATAAATGAAATATTTTACTACAAATTCTAGACTATTAGTCAAATACTGTATCTTTAAACAGTGAATACCTCTAAATGCTGAATGAAGGCGCTGTGAGCCCAAGCTATTGGGATAATATCTTTCTGTTGGATCAAGTCATCAAAGGTTTCAATTTCTTTATTTTTCTTAATGGTAAGCAGTTCTGCACTAATAAGCGAATTCAGGTAAACCCAAAGGAAATCAATGCAAATTAAAATGATTAAATAGATTGAAGTCCATTTGTTTGGAGGAAAGTAAATAATTGCTAAAAATTAATGATATAATTATATTCTGTTACTAAGTTAGCACACATTTTCTTATAAATGGCTCACATTTGATTAAAACTAATTTAATAAGAGTTAAATCAAAACTTTGTTCGTAGTGAAAACCAAGTGATATGTTTGATATGACAACTAAAGTAATTGTGATTAAAATGAAACAAAATATGCATAAAATCCAAAAATTGAATTCAAGAGAATATAAGTGACGCAAAATATCTGCTGTTTTGGTCTCAGTTTGTATGTCATTAGATGCGGTCATAATAGTGTAGCCGTCGCTGTAAACCGTATCCGTGAAGTTAACCACTTTGTAGCGATCAGAAAGCATCTCAAAGGGTCCGACACTTATATGACACCTCTTTTTACGGTAATAAAAGTGGAGTTTAAAGAATAAAATAACATTTTCATTGTTTCCTACATTTTTTACGATATCGCCTATCATTCCAGTCCACGAGTTATTTGCATTGATTCCCCAAAAGCCATCTGAAGATCTGATAACTGAATAACTATTAAAACAAAAAGTTAATGTTTAACAGAATTTCTAACTTTTTAAAACCTAGTTTACCTTATATTATAATTCTTTGCAAATCCATTCCATAGTATTCCCGTTATACCCCTTAATTTATAATTACCGGAACTCCTATTTTGCAATACAGTTAGTGGTGGCCACTGTTTCATAATTTATCCAAAATTATTATGTCTGTATAATATTTGTTTCCTAAAAAGTTAAATTGATAATTACTTACATTTTCTGCACAAACATTAAAACGCATATTTTTAATTATTAAAAAAAATTAAATTAAATGTCAATCAATATATACGCGAGTTGTTGATCTAACTTTACAAGTATACTGTAATACTGTACAGTATACCATAAACTGTACTACAATGAGTTCTTGTAACTAAAATGATATCCAATCGATTGAAACGCTTTTATAGAATTGTGACGACAATAATAAAACAGATCCATTCAAGTGTTAACACTATTCATAACAAAATATATTATTTTCGCAATTTAATCAAGTTATTCAACACAATAATTATAAAATTCTTTTGTTACTAAATATAATTGAATTCGATAAACGAAAACAAGCTATTTATTACTTAACATGGTAATGAAAATAAAAATAGAATCCTTAATTTAGTAATATTGATCAAATATGAAAGGTTAAAGTCATTGATTAAAATATAAAATCTATAATTATAAAATTATTCAAATACACACAAACAGAATTCAAACAAAACTCATTTTATTAGTTTAAACTTATGATAATATTCGTGGTTTAACACAATCTCGAAATACAAATTTTTACGGTACNTTAGATGACTATTAAGAATAAAATTAGAATTTAGTCGAGAATTTATCCCTTAAATTCTTAATCTTATCGAAAGAATACTGACTCAAACACTGAGACAAATCCATGGCATGAATAGTTTGAAATAATGGATACACTTCTGAAGCTGTCTTATAATCAGGACATCGGGTCAATGTCTGCAATAAATCACAACAATTATAATAAAAGTATAAAAATTCATACAAAAGTGAATACCAGAGAGTAATAATCGCAGACATACTCCGTGAACACGTTCCTAGTGGTGAGGACTGAGTAGTTTTTATAGCCATTGGCTCTCATTTGATTGCAAACGAGTTCCCAGAAGTTCTCAAGTCTTGAGGAGTGGCCAAACTGTGCCACAATTGCCTTCACGCCATTGGCTAATGTCTTAAACTCTTGTATTCGACTTTGACTTAGATGTGAAATCTTTTGGAGTTTTACAGTTTCGACGATATCTTTATTGGACTGATATCTGTGCTTATTCTTCGGAGTCGTTTGATTGGATGCCAATGATTGTGTTGAACCATATTTATTGCCATTTTTGTGATTATCATTGTTTGAAAACAAAGACAAATTGGATCCAAACTTTTTCGCTCCATTGAGACCCAAATGATCGCATTTCTTGTATTTCTTTTGTTTAAACATTTGCCTTAAATCTCGGATTTCATTGAATTCACACAAATTGATCAGAAATTTCAGATCAAACCAATGAAGTAT